TCGTTCGATCGAGCAGAATCTCTGCTTTCTAAAAATGAAAAGCTCACCGGAGCTCACCAGAGCACATTCAAACCTACCGTGCTCGAAACGGTAACCTTTACTGCTTTGAGGTATCTTCATGAAAATGGCTATATCTTCTCATGTAAGCAGGATTGCTCAGTTAAACCTATGATTTTCTGAATCTAGCTGTCTCATTGGACTGTGATGGAAATGGAAGAATGAAGAAATGTTCTTGAACAACTGAGTCCAATTTTGTTGACTTCATAAAATATTTTGAGTTGTGGGATGGTCAGTAGGCAACTGCGCACTTATTCGTCACTATGGAATCCTTTCTAAAGTTTGCAAGAATACGTCAAATCTATTCTAATTCCATTTAGAACTCGGGCAATCCGTCCGACATTTTGGTTGAGATTGTCGATTTGGTAATGCTGCGAAAACTTTCAATCTCCCAGCACAAAATCGTCCCAATTTATTCGATGTATCGTATCGTTTAGTTGTAAATTAGAAATACTATCATTTTAGTATTTCTAATTTTAGTAACACGACTACAAAGCATAATTGTAGGCTTTCGATGACATGCACGAGTAGAGATATACAATTCAACATCTGTTTCTGGTAACGCTTAGGTAGATATTTGTGATAGATATGCGTCAAAGCAGAGAAATTCCACCAACCGTACCAGATGCTATGCTGCTGTTTATGTCATTTATCTAATGCTGTTTATCTCACCTCTGATCCAAAATCAATTTGAGTTATTTGCTTTTCATTTCAACACTTAGTTTCATTTCTTTTAATAACTCACTAGTGCACTACAGTTTGATTTAATTCACTATGAAGCACAATATGTTGTTCTTTTTGGTTTTGACGATTTGATGTAGTTGCAATATTTTTTAATCAGTCTGTGAATTAGTGACTCAGTGAATTCGTATTTTTCGGGCAGATTCAGTGCAGTCGATCGATCTGAACGCTTGAGCTCCATGAAGAAAACTGTCACAATTTCAGGATTTAAGAAATGAGCAAAATTCTGCTCGGAGTGAATGCAGAGCATCGTTATTGTTAAGTTTGATAAGTGCACACTATCACATTACTTGTGACTTGCTAGTTAAGTGGTTATAATACAATCATCGTCAAATATTTCACTTCTCTCAGTGATCTTTCATTTTTAAATACTTTTAGTGATTTATGCAAAACATCACATATCTGGATGCATCGGAAAGTGATGCAAATAATTCCACGCTGAAGCACTATCAGAATTGCAAGGCTTTCATTGCCATTTCATCGAGTTAACGCATGCGCTGCCTTGCATGATTCATTAAAGTTTATCGCCTGTCGGATTATTTACAAATCGAAGAGACGACGTTATGTTTGCGATAACATGATTCAGATTGCATGCTGCCAGGAGGGTGCTCAGTCGGTTGCCAGGAAACCGACGACTTCGAATCGAAGTTTCGCTTCACTGATGTATCGTCGGCAGGTAAGCAAAGGCATATTTTGTTCGCATTTGTTTGAGATTTCAGTGAAAACTTCACAAGACGTCTGAGCTTGTATTGCTCAGTCTTATTCCATTCCTTTCTCCTTGAATATCGTTTTAACTAGAAGAACACCAAAAACTCGTTGTTCTTTAAACCGGCTTAAGAGTTCAGCTTACAATTCAGTTTATACGATTCAAAGTTTATTCTCAAGCGCTCCTCATTCATAAGTTAGAGCAGAGCTTTTGTGAATCACGAATTAATCCTTATGTTCACTGAAGAAACCCCAAAAAAACTTCACATTTGTTGAAATTTCATACTTTACATGGATGCCTCTAATCTATGGAGTTTCTCGGTTTTACTAAAATGTGCAGAAAATTTGAGAAATTGTCGTTCAAGGCACTTTAGTGCTCAAAGCATCAAAATGAATATGCTTCGTTAGTACCTTAAACAAACCAACGCAAATTTTTAATTTTCGCAAATTGTTTGTACACCCTTCAATCTCTCACAAGATGTTTCTGTCGAGGGTATCGGCAAGCGATTGGATGATTAACTGAGTCATTTTTTCGTATGTCTTGCAAGCTTATCGAAACAACGCAGTTATAGCCCATTCCGTTTCGTAACAATCAGAAGTACTGGTTAGAGACAGCACTCTCAACCCTTTCTTTTATTTGAGCCATATCAGTGGCTCAATACTTCACTATTGAACCTATCCGTAAACAAACCAACTGCACTTCCTTCAGATGCCTTTTTTTTATTTGACTGTGAGAAATGTTCAAGAGCAAACAGGGAAGCATTGTGTGAGAAGAATATTGCATGATGTTCATGAANTTGTTGTTGTGGTTGCAGACAAACGATATGACCAAAGCATTTATTGGACGTCCAGCACCGCCATTCACAGCAGATGCAGTTGTAAACGGTGACTTCAAAACAATTTCGTTGAACGACTACAAAGGCGCTTATTTGGTTCTTTTCTTCTATCCGGCCGATTTGTAAGTTAGGCATTATTGTTGATTCGATCATTCGATCGATATCGGATTATGAATAATCCATACCGAAATATTTTATAACACTTGTTGTCAGAACGCTGGACATTTGAAGGGTTGAAAAATTCAAAATTTGCTCTCATAAACCAGCTTTCGCACATGATTTAGGACAAGAAAATGCGCACAAGCATCGAATAGTGATAGCACCACTTGTGATTTGATTGCAAATTGCATGATTTGAACACCGGTACGGTCATCTGGAGATCAGAATTATAGTGCTTTCCAAATATTCAGTGCTCACTGATCGGTGCTTAACACTTATACCTTACATTCAGGACCACCTCAATGTAAGATATGATATGCGGATTCAATAGCAGTCTTGAACTAATCTTTGGTGCTTTTCAAATATGAAAGTGAAATGCGGAAATTTGCGAGATACTTTATCTTTATTGCTCTAATAAAAGATTTATCTCGTGTAAATATTTACTTAAATATTGTGAAGTATTTCAGTACGTTCGTGTGTCCAACCGAAATAATCGCCTTCTCGGATAGACTCGACGAGTTCAAGGCTCTCAAATGCGCAGTGGTCGCTGCATCGACAGACTCAAAATTCTCACATTTCGCCTGGATTAGTCAGCCAAGAAAGGAGGGTGGACTTGGTGATATGCGTATTCCGGTGATGGCTGATCCCACCCAACAGATCAGTCGTGATTACGGAGTATTGAAAGAGGATGAGGGTGTAGCGTACAGGTGGGTGGGTGTGTGAGGAATTCATGAATCTCATGCTTCTGGAACTTATATAAGAGATTATTTATTACACTTGCGAAGATATTGAGAAAATAATATTCCCCCAAACGAAAAATTTTTTCGTCTGATTGACCACCGAAATGTAGAATTAAAAACACTGAATTTAGTTAGTTAACTGTAAAAAANAAAAAAGCTATTTTAACAGTCAATTGTTCAATGAAATATGAACAAAATATGAACAATTAATGTTTGCGTTCAAATTTATTACGTGATCAATGAGAAGAATCGCATCCATTATCATATGAGTTGCAGTACTCAGATATGAATGTATCTGAATGATTTTATTAATGTTTCTGATGTTGAGCCAATAAAATTTTCTTCACAAGATGGGAAAGGCCCAAAAGTTCCATCGTTGCAGTAATGCGTTTGATTTTATAGAGGATTGTTCATAATCGATGGTAAGGGAATAATTCGGCAAATTACCATTAACGATTTGCCGATTGGTCGATCCGTTGATGAGACTGTGCGTCTCATTCAAGCACTTCAGTACACGGATGAGCATGGCGAGGTCAGTTATCGCAATCTTCCGATCAGCGCGACGTATGTGATTCGCAAATTGCGTTGAACTTCTCAAATACAAAGAATAGAGGATTACAGAAATCTGACTCACACCACAAAACTTAATAAGATTCTACAAACAATTGGAAGTTTGTTGGAATAAGAGGCAAAACAATTCAAAAGAGCATTACTTTCCGGACAAATCAAATGGAATGCAATATCACCGTGAAACATTTTCCATCTCAACTAAATGCCAAAATAAGATTTTGCTCTAAACGATATTTCAGGTTTGCCCAGCTGGATGGAAACCTGGTCAAGACACTATGAAAGCGGATCCAAAAGGAAGCAAGAAATACTTCGCGAAACAAAAATAAAATCATTCCGGCAAGGCCAAACGAATCGAACTGATTTTATCTCATAATTTGTTTAATTCAGTGATTCGAATAAACTTTCTTCGCAGTTTCGTGGTATCATACACGCACTCACAAATCAAGTTCTGCAGGAAAATCGTTCCTGTTGTTTTGCCTTCAACACCAAATCAAATGTTTCCAGAGAATAATATCATATTGGCGTTAAAAATCCTCTGTAGAGACTTGTCTGGTCAAAGGAAAACCTTGCGAGATTCTATTTGTTCCTAAAATCAAGAATTTGATCAGTTCAACTTGACAGAATTTAAGTTGATTGGCTAACTGACAGTGTCAGCTAGCTAATCCTGAATTTAAGAAAGCCATCAGATAGCTCTTCTTGGGGTGCTAATTATAACTTATTGCTGTGCAACGACTAAGCGTTTCGTTTCGAAGCATAAGGGTATAGGTAATTTTTGCTTCGGTGATCAAAGGAACTCGTAAAAAGTTATCAGGTCAGCTGCAGAAAAGCAATTAAAAATTCATCAAATGCAGTGCAAAAGAGCTCATCGGAGAGTATCTTTTAATTTATCACATGATTGTCTGATGTCGGTAAACGGTGAGCTGAAACGAAGCAAAGATCATCCCGGTCTCGAGCCTACAACTAAACTGAACATAGTTACAACGATTACAGCAAGCTCAAATCGTCTGCTATCTTAAAACCTCGTTCCTGTAGAAAGGCAACCAGTTTCCCAAAAATTTGCATTTGAGCATCACTAACAGTAAGAAAAAAGTACATTTTGACAATATTTTATCGACACGGGCTCCTTTTTTAGACTTATCATGCGATTATCAGGTTGATAATCAATGTTCGGCCAATAGACAAGTTGAATGCATTCCTTTATAGGATATGCGAAATGATGTCGAAATGATCTCAGCGCTTCTCAATGGAGATGCGCTGCCGGACGGTCTTACGATTTGCTACGAGAAGAGCCTTGGCTCCTTACCTAGATCATAAATGGTGACAAACAAGTAATTGCTGACAGTTATATCATGTCCTTCACAAAAGTATCTCACAACTGATTCGTTATTCTAAGAATGATCGTTATCAGTATCGTTTGCAGGAGATGCTAACAGAAGTTTCATTCTCGCATGGAAATTTTATCAAGTAAATTTAACTGCTTTCTTCATTAATGCTTCTCATCAAAACACTTTTGCTAAATGATAGTCAACTGCTCAAATGAAGCCATCAAAATCCAATAAATTTGACTCAAATATGTCGCATAGTAGTTGAGAAATGCTTTACAGTGGTTGGTAATTTCGATGAGTGTGCTTGCTTGATGGGCACAGATCAGAGTGTGGAAGATCACTCTCGATGCTTTCTCACGCATTTGATTCACTCATGCACCAACCAAAAAAATGACACACCACTGTCACACTCACTGTTCTCTGATCATCGTCAACACTGAATCTGTTATTGATCTATGCCTCTGCTTCTGTGTTGATCTATTGATTTCAATGCAACGTCTCTATCAATTCCGAGTGACAGGCTGAGTGCATAGTCCACACGTGTCAGATACCTCTACTCACCTCATTTTAATCGACATTCGAGGATTCTAAATTTCGCTATTTTTTCTTTTTTTAATCATTATCAGTTATGCAATAACACAATATTACTCGTCCTAAATGCAACTTATTTCCAAATCACTGTGATATTTTGTAAGAGATTTTTGTGCTTGTGCGAATATATTAATTAGCCTTTTGTTTAAAAGCAAATTTGACTTTCACAGTCGCTTCTTATACAGTCGCTTTCATGCAGTTTCCTCTTCAAGCACTTTCCGGTTGTGACTACGGACTTCGCTCGAATCTCGATAATCTGATTCGTTTTCAACCACACGATAATATTCATTCACCTATATACGTTCGATTGCAGGCAAACTTCGAGTAATTGGTAAGCGGTATTGACCACACCGCTCGGGCGAAAGTTTTTCGAAAAAATTGTAAGTTTTCTTATCATTTGCTTTGGTTTATTTATCCATTCATTCTTTTGATGATTTGTTCGTTGATTCGTTCACTTGTGCTCAATTTATTTCCGATTCCTTCACGACATTTCGGTATCAGATTGCCTGCGCGTTACTCGCTTTGATTCATTGTGATATTGATGTTGAATCGA